GCTCTGGAGCTGATGTGTTCCTTGTTTCCTGATGTGCAGGACTCTCAACTTGAGCTGGGTAGGGCCCACCGAGCTCTGATGGCCCCCTGTCCCAATGGGCCTCCTAGGGACATCATTGTAAAACCTCATTATTTTGGGATTAAGGAGTCATGCTTAAAGCCAGTGAAAATCCCAATATTCAAATCGGTGGCATGGCGTCCAAATTTTTGCTGACATTTCACAGGCCACAGTACAGAAACGATGTGCATTTAAACCGTTGTTGAAACCACTCCAAGATCAGAACATTAAATATCGTTGGATGTTCCCCTTCCAGTTGTCATTCACCTATAGGGGAAGGTTGCATTCATTAGCTACTTTCCCTGAGAAAGAATCCTTACTGCTGCAACTGGGTCTGATATCTACAGCTTCCTCTCGGAGGCCACAGCGCTAATCACCTATCCTGGAGGATAACAGCCAATCTAGAACCAATGCTCCTCTGTCACCTTTATGGCACAACACTAGAAACCGCTTCAAGCAAAAGTCGCAGCCTCCTTGATCTGGTGGACTAGATCTGTTGGTCTCTACTAAAGTGGAAATTGTCAATTTGAGATATGGGTCCCCACCCTTTCTTATTTCTAGTCTCTCGTTTTATCCTGGTGAATGGTTCCCCATGCATGGTTGATCTGTTATATTTTGTTTATCATTTAGCTTGCTTTACCTATTTACTGCCTACAGTATTGTTGGAGGATTGTTGGAGGATTATTATTCTCTGTCAGTTGCACTGTCTGAATGAGATTCGGCGTAGGCCCTGTGCGTGAGTACTGCACCCCATTCTGTCTCCACTTCTGCCTCTTTAATTGCGGCTGACGTGGACGCAGACCTTTCCACGATTTGTGGACTGTATTTAGCTTCAGTTTGGTGGTCTTTGCAGCATGTCCGCATTTTTTCCTCCATATATCGTGTATCATGATGTTTTGGAACTCGTTTTTTATCTTGTTTGTCTCTATTACTGCTTGTTCGTTTTTTTGTGTCTTTTCACCTTACTGTTCTAATTTGCTTTTCTTCTAGTGTTTTTCTTTTCTTTAGCCACCCACGTGGCTTGCGACCCTTCCTTGGATGGGCTCCTGGATTGGTGCCAGGTAATTGTGTCTCCGGGGTAAGTCAGTTCTTTTGGGACTTTTTTCATGGCCACTGATAATGCACCAAAACCCCTTGTGGTTCTTTCTCAAAATGCTCAGGGTCTGAACTCGCCAGTGAAACATAGAAAAGCTTTTCAATATTATCGCTCGCTGGGCGCGGATATAGTTATGTTACAGGAGACTCATTTTCCCACCGTGTTTCAGCTCCCCTTTTTGCATGGCCAATATCCCCTGTACTTTCTGGATAATGTACCGGACAAGACGCGGGGTGTTGCAATTTGAATTTCTAAACGACTCTCTTTCTTGCCCCTGGATGTAGTTCAAGATCCTAATGGTAGATACCTTCTGGTGACAAGTAAGATTGAAGGGGCATTTTGTGGTCTGTAGTTTTGGGTGGTGACTTGAATGTGGCTCTGAATTCGGTCCTGGATAAGACAAGAGCCCCAGGGACCTGCCTTTTACTTCCATCTAAAGTGGGACCAAATTGGGGAAGTTGCTTCACCAGTTTGATATGGTTGATATTTGGAGGGGGAACTCCATGCCTCTAGTCATGATTTTACCTATTACTCTAGTGGTCATTTGACCTATTCTAAGATCACATTTTTGCTCCCTCTTGAAGTGTACCCTTGTTTAATTCCTCCAAAATTTTGGAAGTGGTGTGGTCTGATCACTTGCCGGTTATGGCCACCCACATTTCTATTCACAAAGTTGCTTCGGTTTATTCTTGGCGTCTTAATGAATCGCTCCTCAGTAACCCCTCTGTTTGCCTTGACGTTGAGATGCACCTTAAAGTGTTCTTTACCGTTAACGATGAGGTACACACCTCTTCTCAAATTAATTGGGCAGCCCATAAAGCCTCTATGTGGGGTATATTCATTCAGCCTGCTGCCAGATTTAAGAAGGCCTAGAATGTTCTGATACGCCAAAAGGAATCTGAACTAACTGCTCTTCTTAAAGAAGATGGACATGGATTCCAATAGAGCTTTTATAGGTTTTATTCCGAAACCTAATAAGGACTACAGTGATTTCTCTAATTATAGGCCAATTACCCTGATTAATACGGACCTGAAAACTTTTAGCAAAAATCTATGCTAATAGACTGAACGGCTTCATAGCGCATTATATTCAGAAGGATCAGGTTGGGTTTATACCTGAATGGCAGGCCTCGGATCAAACATGGAGAGCAGTTGACCTTATTTCTATTTCACAGTCTTCGTGGGATCGCGGTAACTCACAGAAGGGTATGTTGCTTTCCTTAGATATTCTAAAGGCATTTGATTCTATCTCGTGGGAATACCTGTTTCACCTTCTCTCGAAGTGGCACTTCGGCCTTAGATTTCTGACTTTCCTTCAAGCACTGTATAGTAATCCTTCAGCTCAGTTGAGATTGCGGGGGTATCGCTCAGACTCTATTTCAATTGCATCTTGCACCTGTCAAGGCTGCCCCCTTTTTGCCGTTACTGTTTGTTATTGCGATCAAAAACTTTGGCGGTGGCTATTAGGAATCACCCTGACATCTTGGAGATAGAAAGAGGGCATACACAACATAAATGTGCTCTTTTCGCGGACGACACACTCCTTTTTCTTATGTCCCCATCATACTTCCATGCCATCGCTCATTGATCTAGTGACTCAATTTCATAATATCTCTTGTTTGGCTGTGAACTGAAAGAAGTCTGAGGCTCTCAATGTCAATTTAGCAGGGGATATGGTTCAGAGCATACAGAACAATTTCACCTTTGCTTGGCAGTTGCATTCTCTGCCATATTTGGGGGTTAAGCTTATGGCCTCCATAACGATGCTTTATAAGGCTAATTATTCACCTTTGTGGGCACACTTGTTGAGGGACATTGATCAGTGGCCCTCTTTTGCATCTTTGTCTTGGATGGGTTAGGATTGCATTGCACCCTCGTGTATCGCATTGTATTGTTATTGTTCTGTCTCATGTATTGTCTCCCATTGTTATGTACAAATAAAAAATACTGTATAATAGTAATAATAATAATTTCTGCACCCTGCCTATAGTGGTTCCAGTGGCTGACCTTCATAGATTCCAGAATATATTAATATGCTTTATATGGGGCAATAGAGGCCACAGGGGGCATAGGCGGACGCTATATGTTTTTTGCGTGATTCTGAGGCGTTGGTGGTCCCGGATCTTAGGAAATATTATTGAGCAGCTCAGATCTCTCAACTGTCGCAAATTTATGCTACCTCCTATAGGCCAGATTGGCTGGCGTTGAAGGCGCAGGCTTTTAAACCTATACCCCTTGATCTCTTAATGTGGATCGCCCCTAAGCAAAGGGAGGGTGATTCTTTGCTCCACGTATATCACTCCATGCAAACATTATGTCTGCAAACAAGCGGTTATCCATTATTCTAATTCTCCTGTGCACCTATATTTGACAACCCGGAGTTTCCCCCTGGCCTACGGCCTCAGGAATTTCGCTGGTGGATATATAAAGGCTTTTACAGGGTGGGACACTTCTTGGGTCACAAGGCGATATTCCCCCCTATATAGTTTATATCGCAGCTTAGATTGCCTGCATCCGAACATTATTGCCTACAGCAATTCTCCATTTTATCCGCTCCTTACACAGGAATGTTATTGGAGTTCTCACGCGCTCAGTGTTTGAGAGTAGACGTCTCCGTGGTGAAGTTCGGAGGGGTGCCATCTCAGATCTGTATAGGCTGTTTGTGTCTCATCCGAGTAGACTGTCCAATATGTTAGCCTGGGAGAAGGACATAGGTGAGGTTATAGAGAAGAAGGACTTGCAGGACTGGCCCCTTAGAGTACATAGGGGCATTATGTATGTTTCTCTTGTGGAGGCGGGTTATAAGGTCCTTTCTAGTTGGTATTTGGTCCCGGATCGATTATCACGGATGTACCCTGGCTCCTCTCTGCTCTGTTTTCGGGGGTGTGGGCAAGTTGGCACGACATTCCATATCTGGTGGGCGTGTCCTAAGGTCAAAAGATTCTGGATTCGTGTTCACTTCTTGATCTTTACAGTTTCCATGATTAATGTTCCTAAGGATCCTAGAATTGCTCTGCTTAATGAAGCTGTTCTTGGTGCCTCCAGGTCGGCTCAGAGCTTATTATATTTCATGTTTCTAGCAGCTAAAATTTGCGATTGCTACAGTGTGGAAGGGTCCTGTGGTTGATTTGGAGATGATGAAACGTAAACCTTCTTGAATTATGGTCAATGAGAAATCGGTCAGCATTCTGCAGGATACTTCTGCTAGGTTTGAGCGGTTCTGGAGCCCATGGATTGATTACTTGCAAACTGGGTTCTAATGTTGACGGGTGCTCTGTTTGAGGTTCTGTGAGGCTGGTTGTGTGGGTGGCTTCTGTTCTGTTCTGATCTTTTCTATTCTTTTATTTCTCTTTCTGCCCTTCCCTTTTTTTCTTATCTCTGTCTTTTCTCTTCCTTTTCCTAGTTGTTTTTTCTTTTTTTTCTATTGAGGATAGATCTTTTGGCCCTCTGCTGGATTACTGTTTTGTTGCAGGCTATAACCATTTTGTATAGTGTGATTTTTTTATCTATACCTGCTGTAGGGGAATTGTAGCTTGTATGCTCTGGCTCTTGGGCTCGCTTTGCGGTCCCAGTCTTTTGACTCCGTTAGTCTAATGGTTTCCCGCTGCGCTGATGTCTATTGCACAGATAGTATAAGATCTGTATTTTTTATGTAATGATATAAGATGTGTTTTTAACTATGCACTTCACCTGCGTTGCGAGTTATATTGTGCCTTGGAAAGGCCTACAAAGATTGTTGTATAACTGTTTCTTTGTTCTGTTTTTATAACAATTAAAATATTGTAACAGAAAATGAGGGCTCAAATTCATATTGAAACACTCCACCAAATGAATACCATAGATCAGGGCTTGAAATTTCCACTCACCTGCTCGCCTATTGCGAGTGGGAAATTATGGTGGGGCCAAGTGTGTCCCCCAGGGCCGTCTTGCTGAGCAGGCTCGGAGTTTAGACCAAATCTGTCATTGGCACTGGGAGCCGTCAGACTGCTCAATAGCTGAGCGCAGTGAAAGCAAAAGAAGGAGTGTGTGCTGTGCTCTCTGCCTCCCCCCTAGAGTGCAGTACCCGGTTCTGTGAGTGAACAACGAAATACTGCAACTTTTTATAGGGGTGTGTGTTTGTGTACGTGTACACATGTGTGTGTGTTTGTGTGTGTCTGTGTATGCATGTACATGTGTCTGTGTGTATGTACATGTGTGTATCTGTACATGTGTCTGCGTGTATGTACATGTATGTGTGTGTGTATATGTGTCCGTGTGTGTACATGTCATGTGTTTGTCTGCTTGTGTGTATGTATGTACATGTGTCTGTGTATGTATGTATGTACATGTGTCTGTGTATGTATGTACATGTGTCTGTGTGTATGTACATGTATCTGTGTGTATGCGTGTCTGTATGTGCCTGTGTGTACATGTATCTGTGTGTGTGTACATGTTTCTGTATATGTACATGTCTGTGTGTGTGTGTACATGTGTCTCTGTGCATGTGTGTAAATGTTTTTCTGTGTGTGTGTATGTACATGTCTTTGTGTGTGTACAGGTGTCTCTGTTTGTGTGTGTTTGTTGGTGGCGAGTAACTCTAAGGCCTGGCTAGTAGTGGCTAGTTGGCAAAGTGTCATACCCTCTCTGACAATTAATTGTTCTTTGTGAAAACAGTTGACCTGCAGTCCTGGATAGGTTGCATAGATATGAGTTTTCTACCCTATTTGTATAGGTGACTGTACCCAAGTCTGTGAGTAGCTTTACAAAACATACACATTACACAATGAATTCATGTAATGACATTACCTTAGGTAGTATGCTACTTTTTTAATTCAAATTAAAATGAGTCTGGCATTTTCTGTAAAGATTCATCCATATTCAAATTAACTTTGTCTGTCACTTTGTGTGTTTGATTGTTGTGTTATCCCTTCTGTAAACACCTCCTCTTGCTTTTCCCAGGCCTGGCTGTATATCTCCTTTCTATCAGTCTGTGTGTCCCCACCAACCCTGCTCCATACCTCTTTAATTTTTTGTACCAGCAATGCCTAAGGCCATACATTTGTGTGTGAATTAATAGCAGTCAATACTTAGAATGTCAATCTGGATCTGTGTAATGATTACCTCCTACCCTTGGTTCACACTTATGCAAATTTCAGTGCATTTTCCAGTTTGCAGAAAAGCACTACAGTCCATTTAACATGATTTACTATGGATATTTAGTTCACATCTGTGTGTTTTGAGTGGGGGGGTTATTTTTTGAAAGGGTCAGGGAAAATTTTTTTTCAGCAGGATGTTGTGATTTGAATGTAATAGACTTTAATGGAATTGCATCAAAAATGCAAGTGTTGATTTGTTTTGCTTTTTTTTTCTTGCTGTAGCTGTACATACTGCAAGTGTTTATTTTCAATTTATACATTACCTTAACTAGTTCATGCCCAGCCTATAGTCAAATGACTATAGGCCACTGCCATTACCATGTGATCACTGTGACCAGCTGATCACATGACAGTTGTACAGAATGGATGATTGATTGGTCATAGTGATCTCATGGTACAGTCAGGGCCAATCACAGCCATCTGTAACATGTGATTAGCTATGGCTAATCTAAGCTAACCAATAATGAACACCTGAATGAATCAATTTCATTCTTTAAAAATGGTTGCTTATAACAGTGACATTCACTGGTATAAGCAATCATAATGTGTAAAAAAAAAAGTCCTGCTCACTTCCCCAGGCTAGTACAATGTTGCTATGGTAACATTATATTGCTCTGGTCACAGTGTGCTAAAGAATAATTAAAAAAGAAAACATAATAAATGAAAAGTTTTTTTTTAATTGAAAAAAAAATTATGTAAACTTTTTTTGTGTTTTTTTTTTATATACTGTCACCTTCATTATCAGCACACCAGTTTATATGATGATGCTGTACTGCACTGGGTGACAATATGTAAAAAAAAAAAACAAATGTTAAAAAAAAAGATTTTTTTAAATGTCTTCATTTTCCAAAAACTTGTGACCAAAAATTACACAACTTCAAAAAACTCACCATGCCTCTTGCTAAATTATGCCATGCCCTTGGACTGTCTATTTTCCAAAAAGGGGTCACTTGGCAATATTTGTACTGCCCTGGTGTTTTTCGGGCCTCAAAAAATGAGATAGGCCATAAGTACATCAGGAACTGATCAATTTTCAGATATGTATCCCATAGTTTTGGACTCTACAACTTTTTTATCAATTATTTAGCAAAAAATTAAACAGCTATTGAGTTGATTAAATACGCAACCGAAAGAAAGCTCTATTTGTTTTGAAAAGAAAATGAGAAAAATGTAAAAATTTTTAAACAAAAAAATGGGTTACACGTGGTTTCTTTACCACACAATTGTCATTCAAAGTGCGGATAGCACTGCTGAAATCTGAAAATTTTATTCCCTGCCCAGGTAAGGGGTGAAAGTGCCCCGATATTGACTGATGGTTAAAGTTGTTGTTTCAAAACCCCCAATCAAAAAATTTATATGTGGCAGCTTATCAGTCCTTAATTAAGTGGGTGTTTTACTTTTCTGTGTTTTTTTTGCGGGGGGGGGGCTTTTTTCCCTTTATTTTTCCCCGAGTGACCCAGCTTTTCTTCTGACCACTGTTTATTTTAATTTTTTTTATTCTATATCTTTTATTAAATTTTTTTAATAAAAACAAAAAGAACATCAAATAACACACACCTGACTAAAACACAAAGAGAAAAACTTCACACCGTCATATCCCAATTGCATCATAACATACTTATCCCCTAGCCCCCTCTTCTCTCCCCCCCTGCCCCCCCCATTCCCTAAGTCCATACCACAATCCTAGTTTCTAACCTTTCACCATGATTATCTGTCCATATCTGTATTCCTTCCCTCATATCTCCTTCTCTCTGTCTGGCAACTCCATGTTACAGCTCCACCCGCCCGATACTCATCCACGCTATATTCTAACCAATTCCTTTTAGATGTTTTAAAGACTAACCAACCACTCCACATATTTCTTACATGTTTTCTATTTTATCCTCCTCAATAAGACACAACTCTTCTCCATTCTATTAGATGTTTCTACGCTCTATTTACCGCAATCGTTCATACTTGGTGGGTCTGGGTGGCAAGCCAAAATTTTGGAAATTTTCAATCCCTTAGCCGCACTAACTAGAATGGTAAAGTTTTACCAAAAAGTTCAAATTTTATAAAATAAAAAACAAGTCCACGCGATCTCTCTTGTACAGTAATCCCACATATTTTCCTGGATATAATTGTAATAATTTCCTCCCAGTAATCTGGTATTTTTTCGGGCATTTTCCACCATATGTGTGCCATTGGGTAGCCCTTTTTTATCTTAAGAATCCAAAGCTTTCTGGGTGGAAGTATCTACTACAGCAGTTCTAGGGTTATTGTAATCACTGAAATTCCACTTAAGTAGGGTTGTTTTTTTTCACATTCGTGACTCTTTTCCCCCTCATCCTCGTCCAACATAAAGGTGAATACATCTACTTGATTATGTGCTTTACACACGGTGTAAATATACCATCTAACAATTGTAAACTAAAGGAAGATTCAAGTGAACGCTAACAGAAATCAGCATCTAATTGCCACCAAAAAGTAACTACAAGGTCCCTCTCACGACGTATACCAAAGATTAAGTGGCAGTGCCTAAGGTAAGCCAATAAATATCTACAAAAATCTCAAAACATCATACTCATTCCAATCAAAAAACATCATGGGTCAACAATCAGAAAAAATGTATTTTTTAAAAAAGGCATATATAAAAGCACAAAAAGCACATATGAAGTCCCAATTTATTAGCTCTATGACGTGAAGTGTGCTATTTTGGAGTTGATACCATGGTCAATAATCTTCCATAGGTACATGGAAGCATCCCCCTATCCTACTAGAAGGATAATATGCAGAAATCATCTGCTGAACTTCTAAATATCAGATATTGACATTGTGATGGTTTAAAGAGATATCGTCTTTCCCTTCCTCGGTTAGAACTTAATCTAGGGGTGGTAAGATATCAGGTCTACTCGCATTAAACTCCGAGCTACTATCCGAATATATGGCCTATTGGTTCCTCGAATTGTAATGTTATTTCCCTATTTTAAGTTTATGAAAATTGTGTTTTTTTAGATGGGATATATGTTTTACGGCAATTCTGGAATGTGATTAGAGTCCCAGTGTGACCTGATGGGTTTATGGCTTTAACGATTAGCTTCAGAGCAAGAGTTTGCCCAAGAAAAAAAAAAAACACCCTGGCATCAGCTAATTGGGTTTTCCCAAATAGAGATTAAACGAATCGAACTTTTGGGGGAAGTGGGAAATTTGTTTTTGATATAAACAGGAAAAAAATTTGTTTCCCCGCTGAATCCGAAAATTACAAAATTGGGATGCGCAGAAACAAAATTTTTCCTTTAAAAAGGCGGCGACATGTTTGGGGGAAAGGAGCGGGGATCTTGGGGAAGGGGCGGGAGAACCAAGGCACGCTTTTACCCTAATGGAAAATTTTTTCAAAGAAAGGGGATCGCCTTTGCCTTTTAGCAGCCCCCAGCCACAATGTGTAATGGTGGGCTTTAAAGCGGCCCCTTTTTACAATTCTATTTGCCTCCAGGCATTCAAGAGAGACAACCTCCCCTGTTATTGGGGACAGGTTAGGGCCAAAAGATACCTTTAAGGAACCAGAATCGCTACTTTGGGACAAGAAAATTTTTATACGGGACACAGAACTTGGGTTTCTTCAAGGGGACACGAAACTGTTTCTCCCGGGTTAAAGAACTTTTTTACAGGGACCAAGAAAAACAGAAAATTTTTTCCCCAAAGGGGCAAAAGAACCAATTTTTACCCCCAGGGGCCAAAAAAACCCCCTTTTTTTTCCCCAAAAGAAAACCCCCGAATTTTAACAGGTAAAAACCGGGCCCCGGTTTCTCAGGGCCAGAAAGGGGGATCCAGAAAAGGGCAAAAAGAAATGGGGTTTCTCAAGGGAAAAAAAACACAGAATTTTAAAAAAAACACGAAAGTTAAAAGGGAAAAAACCAGAATTTTTCAGGGGAACAAAAAAAATGTTTTACTCAGGGAAAAAAAAAAACACAAAAAATTTTTATTAAAACCCCCCATTTGTTAAAAAATGACACAAATTGTTAAAAATTAAAACCAAAAAATTTTAAAAAAACCAAAAACACAAAAAACTGTTTAAAAATTAAAAGGGGAAAATTTTAAAAATTTTAAAAAAAAATTCTACAAAAAAAAAAATGTTCCTTTTGGGGAAAAAATTTTTACTTGGGGGTACAGGGGGGGGGCCAGGAATTTTTACGGGGAAACGGGAAATTTTACTTTTTTTCCCCCTAAAAATTTTAATAGGGGACCAAAAGAAGTTAAAAATTAGGGACAAAAAACAGAAAACCTTTTTTTTTTATTTTGGGGACAAAAATTTTAACCCGGGGAATTTGGGTTTTTTTTTTGAGGACCAAAAAATTTTTTACTTTTGGGGGGGGGACCCAGAATTGTTTTTGGGGCACCCGATTTAATTTTTTTTAAAAAAACGAATTTTATAAAGGGAAAAAAATAAAATTGAA